AAAAGTAAAAGGACTTGTGGTAAAAGGACTCGTGTGACTAATCATCCTATTGCCCAGTTTGTTTCTTATTAGGGACTTTCACACAATTACCGGGCTTACCTTGTTGCCACCTTGGCTATTTCCATCCCTCGAACTGTATCTGAGGCTTTGCAAGACCAACATTGGATAGCAACTATGGCTACTAAGAAGGATGCCTTGCAGAAAAATAAGACATGGGAGCTTGTTACTTTACCACAAGGAGAGAGGACCGTTGGCTATAAATGGGTATTTACAGTCAAATATAAACCAGACGGTAATGTTGATCGCTATAAAGCTAGGTTGGTGGCGAAGTGCTTTACACAAACTCCAGGGAAGGACTTTAACGCCACTTTTGCTCTGGTCGCCAAGCTGTCTCCTGTCCGCCTTCCTATTTCCTTAGCGGCTTGCTACTCTTGACCTCTTCACCAGTTAGATGTGAAGAATGCCTTTCTTCATGGGATTTGACAGAAGAAATTTATATGGATCCTCCTCCTAGTTTTTGGCTTCAGGGGGAGTATTCTGGGAAAGTATGTCGCCTTCTAAAATCCTTATATGGACAGAAGCAATGACCTCGGGCATGGTTTCACCGATTCAGTGATGTAGTTATTTCTATGGGTTTCACTTCATGTCAATCAGATCACACGTGCTTCTTCCGTCGTAGTCCAAAAAATCATTGTGCCATTATCTTAGTATATGTTGATGACAGAATCATCACAGGAAATGATGCATCTTTCATTTACAAGATAAAAATAGACCTTGGGCAGGCTTTTGAGGTTAAAGACTTAGGTCCTCTTCGATTTTTTTCTTGATATTGAGGTTGCACGCTCTAGGAATGGTATTTCGCTCTCTCAGCGGAAGTATGCACTACAGGACACTGGTATACTTGGGTGTCGTCCTGCTTCCTCTCATATGGAATCGACGCATCGGCTTTATGCCTAGTCTGGAGACCTTCCAGATCCGTTTGCTTATCAGCGCCTTGTTGGCCACTTAATTTATCTAACAAACACTAGACCTAATCTCACATTTGCGGTTAGTGTTGTGAGTCAGTTCATGCATGCTCCTTAGACCTCACACTTAGATGCAGTATACCGAATTCTTCGGTACCTCAAATCCTGCCAAGACTTGGTCTATTCTACAAATTCACACCACAACCTCTTATCTCGTGCTACACCGATGCTGATTATGCTGGATCTCTGACTGACCGTCACTCTACTTCAAGTTTCTGTACTTTTCACAAGGGCAATTTAATTTCTTGAAAAAGTACGAAACAAAGTGTTGTGTCTCGTTCTTCTGCAGAGGCAGAGTACCGTGCCATGGCTCAGGGCACTTGTGAGATCCTCTGGCTTCGTTCCCTATTGACTGAGCTAGGATTCCCTGTATTTAGTTCATCAACTCTATTTTGTAATAACCGATCTGCTATTATGCTCGCATCTGACTCAGTTCTTCATGAATGGACAGAGCATATTGAGGTTGATATTTCCTTTTTCAGGACAAAGTGCGATGTGGAGTTATCCATACTTCCTTCATTTCTTCTACTAATCAGCTTGCCGATATGTTCACAAAGTCAGTAGGACAATCTGGTCTTCACTCTGGTATTGGCAAGTTGGGCTTAGTTGATATCTTCACTCCAGCTTGAGAGGGAGTATTGGGAGAAAATATAGGGATTTGATCTGTTGGGATTGGATTTGATCTGATCTTAATTTGATTTTATATGATATTCATCAAGTGCCTATTAGAGACATAGGATCGGTGATTTGATTTACTTTCCACGTATACGATATTCAGTTTGTAATATAAATTAGGAGCATGGCTAATGAGAATTTGTGGCTTACAAGAGCCTTTTTCATTCAACTGTTGCAAAAAGGTATGCTCAGACGTATGGTGTTGATTATGATGAGACCTTTTCTCTCGTTGCCAAGATTTCATATATTTGTGTTCTCATTTCACTTGTTGCTAATCTTCACCGACCCTTGTTTCAACTAGACTTTAAGAATGCTTTCTTCCATGGCGACTTAACTGAAGAGATCTTTATAGAGCAACCACCTGGGTTTGTTGCTCAGGGGGAGTACCGACACAATATTTGTCATTTAAAGAATACTCTTTATGGTTTGAAACAATCACCGAGAGCGTGGTTTGGAAATTTTTCTAAGGGCAGCCTTAGAATTTGGTCTTTGAAGATGTTAAACAGATCATGCAGTTTCTCATCAAAATACTGGAGCTGGTTTCATTTTCCTTGTGGTGTATGTGGATGACATTGTTATAACAGGTGATGATTCTGCAGGTATTAGTAAGTTGAAAAAATTTATGTAGCATCGGTTTCATACTAAAGATTTAGGTAAGCTCAGATATTTTTTGGGAATTGAAGTTGCTAGATTGAGGAAAGGTATCAATTTGTCGCAGAGAAAATATATGTTGGACTTATTAGAAGGCACGTGTTTGTTAGGAGGTCGGACAGTTGATGTTCCTATGAATCCAAATACAAAACTCTTAGTTGATGATGGAGATTTATTTGACAACCCTAGAAGATATCGGCGACTAGTCGGGAAACTAATCTATCTTACCATTACTCGGCCGGATATTTCATACGCGGTTAGTGTAGTGAGTCAGTTCATGGGAACTCCTAAGGTGCCACATTGGAACGCGGTTGTTCGGATTATCCGATATCTTAAGCGAGCTACAGGTCTCAGGTTGTTGAACAGATCCAATGGGCATCTTAAGGCGGAAGGTTTAACAGATGCAGACTAGGCCGATTCGCCCTCAGATAGAAGATCCGCCATAAGATATTGCACCTTCCTATGAGGTAATCTAGTTACATGGAAGAGTAAGAAGCAAACAGATGTAGCACGGTCTAGTGCTGAAGCGGAGTACAGGGCAATTGGCTCATACATCTAGTGAGTTGACATTATTGAAGAACTTGGTCTGAGAGTTCAAACTCCTCCTCCATTACATTGTGATAATCGAACAACTATCCATATTGCCTTTAATCTAGTGTTCCATGAGAGTACCAAGCATATTGAAGTCGATTATGACTCTGTGAGACAAAATATTAAGTGGAAACATCACTACTCTATTTGTGAAGTCTAAAGATCAATTAGCAGATATGTTCACCAAGGTTCACAGTCATAATTGGTTGAAGGCTATTTGTTCCAAGTTGGAATTGTATGATATATATTCTCCAGCATGAGGGGGAGTGTTAGAATAGGTGTATTAGGGCATATTTGTGGTATTTTAGTCTTTTGTTATTTCTATACACTTGTATATATAATCACATTAGGCTCAAGAGGTGTTGCCACAATATATAGAAATTTTAAACCATGTCTCTTTCTTCTCTATCTTTCAAACCCTAGTTCCAACAAAAAAAAAAAAAATCTCTCTTGATCCAAGTATCTTAGGACGCTTTGGTTATTTCCAATTTCTAATAGGAAACAAAGATCGTGTTTTGGTTGTCAAGAAACGTTAACCAAATTACATTTCCTACTTTACATATCAAGGGGGCAGAAAGATCACATTCTCATATCATCATCATCCTCGCCTTTATCCCATATGCATGAATTTTCTTTTACCATTCTTTACCATTATATGCAATGTCATTTTTTAAAATCATTTTTAGTGACTTCATCCGATGTTTTGGTCGGCCTCTTGGCCCTCTTTGTTGTTTACCTTCTAGGCAAACAAATTTTCCTCTAATAACCGGTGCATCTTCAAATCTACACTGTATATGACATCTACTTTCTCTCATTTTTGTATGTATTTTAATATCCCACAATAATCACCGTAAAAAATGCCCTCTCCATAGAGTACACAATCACGGAAAGCTGTACCATATTGACTGGGAAAAAAAAGGAAGAAAAAAAAAACAGAAACACCAGAAGAGTAGGGTGGGGGAGTCATTTGTGAATCTAACATGGTAATGCATCTTTAATTAAGGCCTTTAGGCAGTACTACAATTTTAGCCGAAGTTTTTTGTATGCATTTTTATTCCTCTTTGCTTTGAATAATTTATAAAGGGAATTTTGCCAAAAGTTGTCATGGTTTCTGGAGTATTATTTTGAAAGTTATCTTAGTTGTTTAATACTTGTTATCTACAGTATTTGACTATAGGTATAGTTTTGACATACGTAAGTCTCAAAATAAGCCTATAGAAAGGTTCAAACTAAGTATATAAGAGGGGCAACAAATTTTTGGTTAATAAAAATCACGGAAGATCTCTCTCTCTCTCTCTCAGTGCCTTAAGTAGTTAAGTATATGCTCGGAAACTAAGAAAAAACCCATGTGGGCCTAATTTGAGACAGCGGAAACTGGATTTGAAGCTCATCTCCAGCTGTTTCTTAATGATGTTTTTCTTTTTCCTTTTCCTTAATATTTTTTAAATATCTTTGAAAGAATCATTGGAGTTCCTTGAAATCATAATTTCCATTGACAAAGAACTAGAGATTTAGTAGCGCAAAAAGAAGATGCTATGACTTATCAAGATCACAGATCTGGAAGAAGTCACTGTAAATAGTAGTACTAAATCCTGTAAATCACACAGGCAAACAGACTTGCATACCATTGAGAGAGAGAGAGAGAGAGAGAAGAAACATCGTTAAATATGGATTTTTGCAAACATAATGCAGGCAAAAGGCAGACCAAGTTGCCACACATTCACATGGGGACAAGAGAATTTTTTTTTTTTCCCTCTTTTCTATCAAATGATCGAGGAAGAAATCCTACATAACTAACCATTCAGAAATCCCACAGTATTGGTAAATAGCAACTTGAAAAGGTGCTGTGGATGCCCCATTTATCGCATGCACAATGGTTAAATAAGCTAGGCAACGGATTCAGGACACAACTTACCTTCCTAATGGCAGCCATCACACATTCACACTGCCCCCCATAACCCCACAAACAAAAAAATATGCAATCAATATCCACGCGGCCAGTCTAGCCGACAAGGAATTTCAAATAGCTCCCATGTTAAGATAGGTGCACAGAAATACCTTATCAGCAAAGTCTGGAAGGTTTTCATGAGGATGCTCTGCAAAATACAGCTTCAAAAGCTTCTCATCAAGCTACATTAGGCAAAAACAGAACTGTGAACAAACACAAAATTATATACTCAAATAGATATGCATGTCCAAAAATGAGCATATTCATAAAATTAAGATTTTTTTTTTTTTTACTTTAAATGCATATGTGCAGTGACATACCTTAGATTCATCAACTGTGATAGGAAGATTTAAAAGATACTGCCCCGAATGTGCAACATCAATCTCGTCATCAGTAGCTATCTTAAAATTGCTCTTATCCATCACCTGTAAGAAACAAGAGATTAAAAAAAAAAAAAAAAAAAAAAAACTGGAAAGCTATTTAGAACCAAAAGAATAAAATTCATAAAAGCCGAAAGCACTCCATTTCAGCTAGAGAACAAATGACATGATTATTATACTTCTAACCAACTTCTGTCATCAACGACCAAAAGGCAACAGAAATAAAGCGTAACAATACGCTGTGAAATGTCTTCTAAATTACATTAGGGCTTCTTAGAAAAAATACCGAAAAGAAAATGCACGTGCACACAAAATATATTACCTAAAATCCTAGATTTGTTGAACTGTTCAACTATGGATTCAAACCTCAAGACAATCAATTCAATCATTCTAAGGCCCTGTTTGGCATGTGTTTTGTTTCTGCTGTTTTTACTTTTGGGCTGTTACAATGCCGATTTTGGCAACAAAAGCATGTTTGGTGCGGCCTTGTTTTATTTTGCACAGTGTTAAAACACTTCGTGAACAATGGCCCAAAATCAAAACACCAAAAAGATGTTTTTTCTTGTTTTACAACTGTTCATGGCCCAAAACGATAACTGTGCATGTTTCTGTTTCCGACATTTCCACAGCAAAACATCGTTCCCAAACGTGCTTCTGATTTTTTTCCAAAACACTCCTACAGCAAAAATAGTGTTTTTGTTTTAGCAAAAAACAAAACGCCTAAAACAAAGCGCATGCCAAACGGGCCCTAAGACCGGCACACAATCATCTAAGCACTCATAACAAGTAGCCTACCTTTAGCATATGTTTATTCTTCACAAAACTAATAACAGATTAGACAGTGGCATTCAAAATGAAATGCAAGACGTCTATAGGAAATATGTCATTCCTCACAATCTAAGAAGCATGGACACTGATTTAGGATATGGACATGACATGATACAAATGTGGACACGGCAATACATGTTTATGCAAATGTTTAGTTTATATAGAATGTTTGAGTACAGTTGTAATAGGTGTAAGGAAAATAGAAAGAAGGAACTGAGTTCTATATACTTCTTCTTAAATCTAAGTTGAGGAAAATAGGGGAATTGAATTTGCAATAACATAACAGGTCTCAAAGATGCAGCAACCATGCTACCTGAAATAAGTATGACAGGAAATTCTGTTCAAGAATGTCAATCTCTTCTGTAGATAGGTTCTGCTGCTCCAATTTCTGAGCCCCATGTACAGGATCGAAGAGGGAGTACAATTGCTGTAAGCAGAATATGGATTGAACTAAATTTAAAATGATATAACAAGAAATAAGAACATTAATCATCTAATATTAATCACGCTTAATATGAACTTCTAATAATTTACGCTTAATATGAACTTCTAATAATATTGATTTCCTAACATAAATTTTCTCTTAAAACAGGCAATAAAGCATGAAACTACCATTAGATCCTCGAATTGTAGAAGATACCAAGCTCGAATTGTGTACTCAATTCTCTTGCAGAGCTTTAAAAATTCAGCACGGTCAGTACTATGTTCTGCCAAAAAAAAAAAAAAAATTAAATAAATAAATAAATAATCAAAGAAGTCAAAGATTGAGGTCCACTCAAAAATTTTTATAAATCATTGTAAGAAAACTGTGCTGGTAAGACTTCAGAGGGACAGGAGAAGAACATTTTATCATAGAGACAACTGGAATAACAGATATGGTCATGATCCTAATATTTTCCCCTTTTTCTCTGAAGGTAAGGAAAACCCATTTTTAGTCCCCAGCGGGACAAAAAAATGGAAAGGGAATGAAATTAAAAAAACATACACATTGGTTGACTAGGAAGAGTGCAGATTACCGTATCAAATACCATTGGCAAAAATTTTCCCAACCCTTCTTTCCTTCCAAAAAAATTATACATGTTAAAATTGCCCATTTTAGTTCCAACATGTCTCTGAATTGAGAGAAATCGTTCATCGTGTTTCATAATAAGACTCAATCCGACTAAGGCGATATTATATTAGCATTTGGCGAAGAAAAATGAGGAAGGGATTGTGAGTATATATATATATATATATATATATATATGACTTAAATTTTGGAAAAGAAAATGCATGTGGATAAAATCCCAAACCCGTGAAACAACAAGCGCGGGATTAGCAAATCTGCGAGGACCTCCTTCCGAAAATTGTGGCGGCAAGTCAGAACTCCCATCTAATACGGGGAGAAAGAGAGGCATAAATTGAGATTGTGAGGAATTATTATATTTACCAATGAGGTTGGCCAAGGTCATGATCAGCTTTGGCTTCATAACTGGAATTACTGATTCGCGCTCCAATTGGATGACATCTTTCTTCTTCTTGTCCATTCTCTCCTCTCTTCAGAAGCAGCATACAAAAACAGCAACAACTAAAAAACACTTCTGGATGTTTCTCGAGGAGTGACGAAGAAGAAAAAGGGGAGGGGGGGGGTGGTTAAAGATTCTAGAGATAATAGGAAGGGTTTTGTTTTGGAATCCACGATGTGAAAATATTCGGACAGTAATAACAATCAGGTCGGCATATTTTATTTATCTCGTCTGGGGCCTCGTAACGCTCCATTTCAAGTTTAAAACGGAGGGAGACCTTCAATTTACGCAGACCCCTTTATCCTGAGCGTTTTTGGATAAAGGGAGTCGAACTTTAGACTCCCTTCTTTTTCTTTTGTCTTTTTCTTTTTCCTTATAAACAGACTCTTATGAGCGATTTGATTCTAATTCAACAGACTCTTATTTGTGATTTGATTATAATTCCAAGGTTCATTAAAAAGAATAAAAAGAAAAGGACAAAAAAAAACAGAAACGCTCATAATAAAAGGGTATGCGTAAATTGAAGGTCTCCCTCCGTTTGAAACTTGAAATCGAGCGTTTCGGAGGCCCAAACGAGATAAATAAAAAATACAGACCTGATTATTATTACTGAGACTGTAAGACTAAAAAATTTTAAAATAAAAACTGTAAAAAAAAAAAATTTCTATTTAGTTAAATTTTTTAAAAGCTTTAAAAATATTTATTTTCAAAAAATTATAGGAAATTATTACGAACTGTTCTTATAACTACGAGTTAGTTTTATTTTTAGTTTTACACTATAAGCAAGGAGCAGTGTGCTTTGCCCTTCTCACTGCATTAGTGGCCCCACCATCTCAATACAGTGGTTGTGTTTTGTCCATGAAATTTGTCCATATCACGAATGCATGGGGCACAATATAATTGTTGCAAACTTCTAGATTTAAAAACTTTTTGAGAGACTGTGATTCATAAATTTTGATTCATCACATAGAGACAAATTTTATACAAAAATAAAATATGATATTATTCAATTAACAGATTTAATACTTATATCAAAGGTCTGAGTAAACCTTTAAATCTTTCCTCTAAAGTGAATGTTCTCACTTATTATAAATCCTTTAGTAAGATGCCTTCTACTTGGATCTCCATCTTTTTGGTAATTATTTTGCCTCTAGGAATCACTCATAATTATTTTACCTTTAGAAATCACTCATAAGCCTCCATGAATGACTTTAGAAAACTTGACTTATAGGAGCCTCCATTAGATGAGAATACTAACCTTAATTTTCTAAAGAGAGAAAATATATTCCTTTTTCCTTCTTCCAAAAAAAATCACACATTAAAATATATATAGACCATGTATATATATAGGCAATATAGAGATAAAGAAAATGAAATAATAAATCATTCTCAATCTCTAATTCACATGTCTCAAATCTAATAGGATTCTAATATCAAGTTGGGCTATGAAGGGCTTATTATTTTATTGGTTACAATGAATTAATAATTAGCCCGGTCTATGGACCCAATTCAATTAATTTATAAATTAATTTCTACTCCACTAAAAAAAATTAATTGAACTCCAATTAAATAATAAATAACCTCTAAGTCAATGTTGCACTTTGACCCTTCTATGCATAATTAGTTATCGGATAAATAAAGCCATCAATCCGACTACTTAATTAATATATTAATTTTGGTACCATTGATTATTTCTGACTTGATCACAATAAAACATTTGTTTGACAAAAATAATAATTTAAATAAATAAATATATAATGAGTCATTTTGTCTAAAAACACACGAAGGCCTTCAAATTTACTTTGTGATCAACCATAATCAATACAAAATAAATACAAGTGGCAATGATACAAATATTGAAAATATAACCCTCTAACTATTAATTACATAATTACCCAAAGTGCCGGTCTAAAGATTCTAAAGATTCCGCCGAACAAATCAAAATAATTATTAATTAATAAAATAGTCTATACTTCTCTCATGCTTAAGAGTCAAATGCCATGACGGTGATAGGGAGCAATTGCATACGACGGCTCTCGCAATATATCTCAACCTAACGCGGATCCAGTTCAAGTCTTAATTAATTATGAGTCCATCCATAATTACCAATTATGAACAATTTATAATTACTATTTATATTCATATATTGATCGTCATCACATACATATATAAATATCTCTTGTAATCAAGTGGACACTGTTAATTTTATAATGAATCGAAACATAATACATTGAATTCACCAATTGTAAAAAAATATAAATATTTCAGAAACGTCAAGAACATATGTCACTATAATCCAGATAAGAATTTGTTATGCCAGGGCATATAAATCCCAACAGCTCCCACTTGCCCTAATAGCCAATTCAAATTGCATCTAACTCCAATGTTATCCAGATGACGATCAAAATTATTGATCAATAACACATTTGTTAATGATCAACAAAGTTATGTTCCAATGTAATGTTCTAGCCATGAGTACATTTTTTTGCCAGACAATATCATATAGGACATGATACTTTCCTCTCGGTGTACCTTGTTCCTCTATGGAACCTTGGGTCATTGCTTTGGACTACTTATGCCATTGTCACAATATAGCTCGATAGGCAGGCTAGTATGCTCCACAACCTCTAAATCAGTGAGATCAAACCAAAAGGCTTCCTTTGCTGCCTTTAAGGCTGCAATGTACTCCACCTTCAGGTTTGAGTCAGCAGTTGAAATATGCTTAACAATCTACTAACTGATTTCCCCTCCATTGAGTGAACATACACTAAGTCATGAACCTCATAGTATCTACTTCTGATTGGAAAACAGAACTATCATACCCTGACTGGAACCACATCATCACATCCATAAATGAGTATGAGATCATTGGTTCTCCTAAGTTACTTAATGATATTTTTCACAACAGACCAGTTATCAAGTCCAGGATTGGACTGATATCTTCTGACTATCCCTATAATGTAGCAGATGTCCTGTTTGGTATAAACCGTGGCATATATGAGACTCCCATATGCCAAAGCATATAGTTCCAGTCTCATTTGCTCAATCTCTTCTGTCAGTCTTGGAAAACTACTTACCAGAAAGAGTAATCCATATCAATAAAGCAAGAATCTTTGAATTATGCATACCAAACCTGGTCAAAACTTTATTAATGTAGGATTATTAAGATAAGCCTATTTTCCTTTTAACCTGATCTTGAAAGCTTGATCCTATGAATATAACTTACATCTTGAAGATCCTTCATTTAAAAGTAATTGAACAACTACCTGTTAATTGATGACAATACTTCCACGTCATTATAAATGAGTAGGATGTCATCAATATATAGAATCAGAAAAAAATAATGGCATTCCCTTATACACTCATGATTTAATTACTAAGAAATCTTCTAGTATCATTTTGTAGATTAACTTGTCTTCCATAGGTATCACCCTACTAGAAAGTTCTACAAGATCCCAAATTTTATTAGAATACATAGATTCCAACTCTGATTTCATAGCAACTCGCCAAAACGATCTGTATCCATATCGGTTCACGCTTCCGTGTAGCTTACTGGGTCCAACTCATGTTTAACAGGGATATCCATAACGGTCTCACCTAAAAACATGATTCTATTGGATTAGATGATAATCCTCCCATTACATCAATATACCGATCCAGGAATCTATGTTCTAGATGATGCTGACGCATCAATAAGGAATTCATATATTATTCTTAATTTATATAATAAATGTGTTTATCTGTGGTACATCTGGTACTCATACCATATTCTCTAACATTATGCTACTAGGTATGTGATTCATAATATGATCCTCCTGTAAATAAATAGTGAGTGTAACAATCAACTTTTACCATTGAGATCATAAAATAATCCATCATAGCGCCTTTAAAGTAGCTATCAAATCTATCATGCATATAATTTGTTTCCAACTTACTTGTCCATATCAAGGGCACATGTGCAAGACAACCCCATACGTGCATGTGATTCAAACTAAGATTTAGTCAAAAACACAACTCAACGGTATCCTTAAGAGAGACTAAGATGGAATGCAGTTCATAATGCGCTTCGATATCATTAACGTTAAACTCTTAAATGAAAGAGATAATGTGGCATAACTGATCATAGATCTAACCATGTTAAGTGGAATTCTGTTATTCCTATTTGACACCTAAATCCATTTAACGTCAATTGCGGAAAACTGGTACACAACACCCTCATTGACCTTATAGTCTTTACACTATCCCAAGAAATACTCATATCCACGATCAGATCGAAGTGTTTTGATAAGTTTACCTAATCTGTGTTCCACATCAGTCTTGACACTTTCAAAATATACCAAAAATTTAAGACTTGTGTCACATCAGATAAATTTATCCAAAACATAAGTAATCTTGCTTGGATGTTCATAAGACCACACGTGTCTGTGTGTACCGACTCCAATTGTTTTTTATGTCTATTTCATTTGGCTGATTAAGCCCTTAGAACTATCTATCATTCAAAACAGGATTCACAAGTTGGTTTAGGCTCCCCTGCCTCACTAGGTTATAAACCTTCTTTGACCAATCTTTGAATCTCATTTTGACTGATTACAACTCCAAAAATAAACACTAAAAATACAATGAGTCAGGAATAACAAATTTTCTCTTAATATTCAATTTAGAAGATGCAACATTAGTTTCTACATCCTGCAAATATTAAGAGCTTGTGGTTATAGTATATCAACCATCTTTCAATGCACCAGAAGCAATCGCACGTCTATTCAATTTTATAAAACTAGTTTTATAAAATAACAATACAGTTTTTATAAACCAAAAGTGAAACAAGAATTAGATTGCGTCTAACATCTGTGCATAAAGATAGTTCTCTAATACTCATATCCTCATACTCTCTAATTTCAGATGTAATACTCCCGCTGACTTAGCTACAACATTGGCATCAGGTCAAAAGACAAATATATATCCATATCATTAAGGCTTCTAGATTCCTGAAATCCTTGCAACGAATTACAAACATGTTTAGTAGCTCCAAAATCTATCCACCAGGAATTAATAGATACATGCACATAACATGGCTCAATGATTAAATATACATTTTCATATGCCACGTCATTGCTTAGACAGTTCGTCCTTTAATGTCTTAGTTAGCGGCAAAAGAAACAGTTTCATTCGCCCTCAACATACACTGCTTTATTCCCAATAACCTTTTGAATACCCACGTTTTGTGCTAGCCTAAACTTATTATCATCCTTCTTCTTTCCTTTACCCTTCCACTTAGGGCCTTGAAGAAAATGGTATA